GGGGCGGAGCCGGAGACGCTGCTGCTGAGCATTTCGTGAGTCAGAACAGAGGAAGGCGCTTTCCAGCAGACCAGGATGGAGTGAGATGTGTCTGCAGTCTGAGGTACAGGCTTGTGATGTGAGAGCGGGATGTGTAACAACGCCAAGGGGACAGGGGCATCACAAGATGAGAGCTGGGCATGAAAACATGGACTTGGGCATCACCCGCAGAGCTGAACTGAGTTAGCTTGAGAAGAAAAATGCTTTCACAGATTCAACTACAAATGAGTCATAAAGAGAGTCAAAATTAAGGGTCCAGAGGTGAAAAGTTCTCTAAGGGCAACTAAGTTTAGAAAAGAGCAAGAGATTTGGTAAAAGCTTACTGCAGAAAGAGCAATGAAAAGCCAAAGCCCAAAAAAAGAACCTAGGCCTTACCAGGGAGGAATGAAAAAGCAGAGAGTGGACTGATCAATAAAAAGCTGACATCCGAGTAGGTAGTTTCAGGAGAAACAAGCAAGTACGGAACACAGGCAGAACGAGGCCCAGGTTTTTGTTTGGTTTTGTTTTCTGTTTGCAGTGTGGTGGTTGAACCCGGCTTTCCCACTGAGATCCATCACCTGCTGCTTTTTTTTTTTTTTTTAAACAGTCTAAGTCACTAACTGACCACGCTGGGCCCTAGGTGTAATCCTCCTGGCTCAACCTCCCAGAGTGCCGAGACAAATCACAAGCACTGTTTTATAAGGCCGATGAAGAGGGGAGGTAGCCAGGGAGCTAGCTCAGCAGACTAAGAGCCTACTTAGGCAAGGCCAGGCACCACACGCTGCCCCAGCCCGCAGTACCTGCGTGGTGGCACGTGCCTGTAATTACAGCACTGGGGAGGCTGAAAACAGGAGGATCGCTAGGAGTCTGAGCTGCGGAGTGAGACCCTGTAGTAACCAAATACATTAAAATAAATAAATAAATAAAAAATAAAGAGGGGCAGTGGGGAGGGGGGAGTGGGGAGTGGGGCGGAGGGCTCCTCCAGTTCCTCGCCCCACCTGGGGGACTCCCCTCCTCCTACCCCAGGTCAGCCAAGCAGCTGGTCTTTATAGCAAATGAAGGCCAACTGTAAAGTTGCCAGAAAGAAGGGTCGGAGGGTCGGAGGCTCCAAGTACGAGCGAGCTTCGGAGACTGGCAAAACGAGTGAAGAGGGGCTGGAGAGATGGCTCAGTGGTCTAAGGCACCTACTTAGAACAAGCTTGGCAAAGCATCAGGGACCACGGTTCAATCCCCCAGCACCACATG